TAATCAAAATAATATTTCTTTATATTGAAACCTTAGGTAATTTTCTTTCATTTGATATCATTTTTTTTTGAAAATCTAACACTTATTCTGCTCACAGGGGGGATTTAAAATAGCAACTTTTTTACAAAAACTAACTTTTTCAACTTAATTTTTGAAAATGTTCCGGAAATACTGCGTCCTTTAAACATATATCAAATTAAAGCTTATTTTATGTACTATAAAATGAAAAAAAAAATTTGTCTCGACGACCTATCTTCTATGCGCAAATGGCTACCGTATTAAAAAATATGCTATTTTTTATTAAAATTCTGGGTTTTGTATTATATTTTATTTTAAAATACCTTATTAGGGGAATAAACTGACTTTCATGAATATTATATAATTTAATTGACATAGAATAAAGTTCATAAGACATATGAAATTAAAATTTTTTTACTATTTTAAAGTCGAAAAAGTAATTTTTAAATTTGAGTTAGCTTAAATAGCCAATTTTATCATGCAACAAGAGCAACGAAAAGTTGCCGAATGGGTAACACTTGTATCTTACACGCTTAGGGTACGAGGTTCAAATCCGTCTGTGGCTTTTAATATTTTGCATTTTTTTTTGAGTTAGAATAAAAATTTTCAAATCATGTTATATTTATCTCATTTAGATTCAATAACTTCAATAAATATAAAGGATCCTATCACCATAGTCCCCCTCGTGAGAATAAATTTATATTTATGTTAATATTATTTTACTATGTGGTTCTTTTTGTGGCTACGATTTATTTTGACAACCCTCACTAGACCTACTTTTTTCAACGATACGTCAAATGATTCATTTAAGTTTATGATATTTAAGTTAATGATTAGTTATTACTCTTAAAAATCAAAAAAATATTCCTTATTCAAATAAAAAGTAGCTTAACCAGCTTTTTTCATTAAAACAACTAAAATCATTAATTTTTAATATTCTTAAATTATTTATTGTCGAATTAAATTTGATATGATAAAAGTATTCAACTACAAAAGTAAATAATTTTACTTTATAATTTATTAATTTTTTAACTCTATTTCTGTGTGCTACTACCAGTCTATAATATGCCAAATTTTTTAGTAATATGTTGCTATATAAATCATAAATTTAAAAAAAAAATGATTTTTAGTTTCACCTGAATTTAACGATGGATTTTTACAATTATAATTATTTTTTATAATACACTCAATTGAGTAAATCTTTTTAACTACTTTGTTTTGTTTGGTTCATTTAGTTAAAGTAAATTATTAAAATTAATTAAGTTCTGAATATTTCAATTGCAGAATTTTTTTAAACACCAAAAGTTATTAGGATATGATTACTATTCTTTCTATTTCAGTTATCTATTACGATAAAAATGCAAAAAAATCGAATTTTTTTGATAAATGTACTGTAAATAGTAATTATAAAATTTTCTGATTGCATGTTAATCTTAAAAATTTCATTTTTTTCAATTTAATAATGTCAATTTCAAACTTGCAAGTTGAACTATAAGTTATGGTAACAAATTCATTTTTTAGCTTCGATGCGAAGCCGAGAAGGTATTTTTCATTAAAACTTTCACTTTAAAAGACAATATAAAGTAGGTTCAAAATGATTTAACATATTTAACCGAAAATCAAAATCAGTATTAATTTAATACAATTTTTTTTGTTCTTAATTATTTTTTTTTTATATGTAAATACTTATTTTTTAATAATAAGTAATAATATTAAGACTTAGAAGTAATAGAAAAAGTTTAATTGCACATTTGAAAATATCGCGAAAAGTTTATTTAGAAAAGTATATTTTTTTTCTGATGAAAGTTCCTTTTGTTTAGTGTAGTTATTCATAAGTAACAACATTTTTTTATTAAAAAGTATTGCATCAATTCCTTTAAATTTGTATACGCATTAAAAGTATATGAATATACAACTCCTTTTTATTTTTATAATATCTCCGTAAAAATTACAATATTAATTATTGAATACCACTTTCATACTCAATTTTATTACTGTAATTACTATGTATTCATATATTATAATTATAAATCGGGGTAAAATTAAGGGAATAAGTGTTATTGTTGTTTTTGAAATAATCTACCAATTTCATTTTTTTCTATTTAATAATATCTATTTCAAACTTGCAAGTTGAGTTAAAAGTTATGGTAATAAATTCATTTTTTTTTATTAAAACTTTCACTTTAAAGGACAAAAAGTAGGTTCAAAATGATTACTTTTAATATATTAAAAATCGATAATAATTTGAAAATAATTAATTATAAAAATTATATAATATATAATTAAAAGAATTACTAATCTTGATATAATTAAGGAAATAGGAGTTGATGTTGGGTGGGGTTGGTTACATTTTTAACTTTATAATGCTATAACTCATTGAAAAGTGTACGAATCAACACAATTTTTTTATGAGAAATAATATTTTTTAATAATCCCTTTTTCATTCGACATACTTTATCTTAATCAGGGTATTAATAAGGAACTAGCAGATCATGTAGCTTTTGTAATTATCCACCAATTTCTTAGAATTAAACACTATCTATAGATTTGCATCGAAGCGATTCTTATGATAGTGATTTTAATCACTGTCAGTTTAAATCTATACTGGACCCAACTATGCAACGTCCCCACTATGCCGCGACCCCACTGTGCTGGGTTTTATTTGTAATATTTCTGTTACTTATATTGTTTTGTTTTAATTTATCTCGTTATGTATATATTTATTTCTAATTGTTGAGCCATAATATTGTCATAATAAAGGCTATTAAAAAAAAAAAAAAAAAAAAAAAAAATGACGCCATGTTTTATTCATGAAAGATCATTTTATTTGCTCTTTAGAAAATAATCGACGTTCCTTTCTTTCTTTCTTGTAATTTATATAAATCTAGAATACTATTTATTTGATTCCTTTTTATTTGCTGAACGTTGACGTCATTTTCACTACACGTTGATGGGATCAGGGTAATAAGCGAAATAAATAAGTAATAACCCAGGGTGTTTTTATTTCTGAGAGAAACCATATTATTTACAATAATAAGGACAGAATATTTTAGTTTATAAGACTTCAACGATAGATTGTTATATCAAGACAAAATTCGTTGGTTATAGTCAATGTGACAGTTGAAGAAAGATGATTATTAATTATTTTTTCTGGCGGCTGAGAGACCGGTTCACGCTGCCTGCCGGCTACCCCTCATAGCTCAACCTGCCGGACGTGAAGAGGAATCGCCGCTATCGCAATTCAGCGGTAACACCTGAAATGCATTGCGACCGCGACAACGTCATTTCCATCCACCTAACGTATGAATCTTTTCCACACCTCAATCTTTCAGCAAGATGGAATCAATGTTTATTTGTGATTAAATAAATAATAACACATCCATTGAATATTAGTCATATTATAATTTTCATTACATATATTATATTTATTTATTTTCTAATGGCGAAACTTGCGTAATATTAGTAGTTAACTTTTAAGGCACATTTTTTCTTAGTGTCATTTTCATTAAAACTTATATTTTTTTTATTCCTAATATTCTTTTCTAATAATAATCTCAACTTACCTAGAGCAAGAATCTTTTTTAAATATTTCCTGCCCAACTGTAGGTTGATCGTTAATAAATAAAAAATTATACTTATTGGATTTAAGGTGCTGGATTTTTAATTTTTGTTACTATATAATTTTACTGGTATGATATATCAGAGAAAAAAAGAAAAACGGAAGACGAACAATCAATGCATAAAATGGCAGATGTTATGATGCCGTTATCAAAATTTTTTTTAAATAAAATAATTTTTATGATAAATATAACAAATTTTATGCATTAAATAATTATATATTATTTATAATATTATATATATTTAAAATACTTCATATATGATGAAATTAAAAATATTATTTTTGATTTAGAAACAGAAGTCATCCATCACAAATAGAACCTAATCGAATCATAGAATTATCAAGGCCAAAAATTAGATACCATTACACGTAAGAGTATAATTTAAAAAGAAAATATTTCATTTCATTTCTATAGATTTTAACTATTTGAGGTACAATTAATTGTCTGTTATGTTAAAGTTTTCATGAATTGTTGAATTATTTTAAATGTTTACATATGTACGTGTCTTCAATTTTAAGCTGACAATTAGGAATTTACGGCCCGTCATAGAGTGTTTCAAAAATCGTGAGTAAAAAAAGAGCCACGGTACAGTATTAAAACCTGCGACCCAAGGCGTCGTAGATATAATACATTACCACTAGGCTACTGTGAACTTATGATTCAGATCCCGATACACTTTCATATAGGTTAACAACGCGATGTGCGACTGAGGGAAACACCGTGTCAACAGTCATAGGACACTACTCTAAAATCTTAAGGATGAATGGCCAGAAATAAAAACACCTAAAGTCTATAAGATACCGTGTTATTCTACCGTTATTGTAAATTAGACATTGGACAAACAGGAAGGGCTATGGCAACAAGAATAAATGAACACGAAAATGTGGATTATCAAAGAGCAGAAAATCTACTGTAGCTGAACACGCCAAAATTAGTGAACACGAGATTCAATTTGACAAAGTCAAAATATTGAACAAAGAAGCTCATTTTGGCAAACAAATGTACAAAGAAACAATAAAAATCGATAAATGTCCAGAAAATTACATCAGAGAGGTTGGTTGAAAATTAGCTTGACTTAGTTAATCTTAGTTATCTATCATACACAATGCAATAAGAAGATAAACAACAAAGAAAATAACTTCATGTGTAAAAAGACTGTATTTAACAAAACAGAAAAAGCCAGTTTAGAAAATAAATAGTTAAATGCAACAAAGCCGTAAACAACAACGAATTGACAGTAGTTATTAATAATAGATAATCACTATCGACGTTTCAGTCATCAGCCGATTTAAAAATAAACTGCAAACAAGCCAAGGCAACAGTATACTTACAATCACAAACCTGTGACTATTGCTCCGAAGATTCTGTAACGAGTCCAAAACTGAAGACATGTATAAATATGTAAACATTTCAAATATTAATTGTCTTTTAATTACTAAAATGTAATATTAAAAACTAAATTAATTCTAGTCGTTAAATTTGTAAATTTTTATAAAATATATATTATCTTTCTAGAGAAGTGTATACAAGGAGACGGTTTAGAAGTCTCAAAGAATTTGAAGACCATTTAGAAAGATTAGATGAGTTATCTACTCCTCGAAAATCATCAAGCGTATCAAGTGATTTCACATCTAAAGTGAGAACAGTTGAGACTCGTATTACATATAGTGTCCATTGTCTTAATTAAAGTCCAAAGAATATTTAAGTGCGAGTGTGTTAATGATGGAAATCTATATATTTATGATCTAAAATTATCCCAAATATCAGAAAAATGTTTAAATTAGTCTTATTTATTTTTATTTCATTTCGCAAATATTTTCAGCATTACTACCCAAGAATTCCACTGAGAAAATTATCAACAAGATTAGATAAACTGTCGATACCAATTAAGCGTAATGACTTTATAAATTTAAAATCAGACGAAGAAACATTTTCCGTAATCATTGAGTTTTTTTCTTTCAATACTACGTAGTGATTATTTTAACATTAGCTACTTGATTACTCTTTAAATATGTTAAGAAAATTATTTCTCGTGATTTAAATTTTATAAATTTCTAAATTTTTCAATTACTAAGTACTTTTTATTCATCTCTTATAACTTATATAATAAGTGAAAGAACTTTAAATAAAACTTAAAACTTCAACTTTATTCGTAGTTTTCATTTTTATCCAAAAGAATATTTCTAATAGTTCTTATGTTTTGTAAACCAACATTTTTGACGAGTACGTAATATAATCTATTTTTTACTATCTCTCTGGATTCTCCTTTAACTTTATTTATTTTGTTTGCTACATATGTTTGCTTCACAACTACAAGATTTACATTTAATGTTAGATTTGATATTTCAAATTTTTTTATGAGTTAAACCAAAAACAAGAATTATATATAAATATATCTAAATGACATTTCTAAACTTATTATTTTGCACGTCGGTAGCTTTTGTTATAGTGGTTCAAATATCTGAATCAACATTTGAAATGATATCTTCAATTTGTTCAAAATTGTTACAAAAGTATTCAATGTTGTCTAACCAAGTACCCAACCGAGTAATGATTGGCACAGGTGAAAGACACAAATTAGAATATAACTCCTTAAATTTTAGTACTCAGCTAGGAGCTTTTAAGAAAAATTTTATACTGCCGCGATTAATGAATCACCTAAGGAAAACTGTAATTTGGTTTGGAATACTCTAAACTAAATTTTGTATTGGCGACATAGCAACATTTGATGTTTCATCAATTGAGATCCATATGGAACATATTTTAATGATAAAATTAATTTTTGAAACCGTTATTTTCAACTTCAATGTATTTTTTTTTAGTTTTTAAATCTGGAAATGCTTGCTCAGTGCGTTATTCCAATATTTTATAAGTTAAATTTACTAAGTGGAAAATTCTGAGTAAGTTTAATTTTCCTTTCTTTATTTTCTTTGTGCTTTATTGTGTTTATAGCTGAGTCTTCAAATACCGTTAGGAATAAGATATAGACTTTCCACAAACTAGACAAGTAATACGTGATCAGTCTTAAAAGTTTCTTTAAGGAAAATACCAAGTAACACTTCCTTTTCTGTTGTTAACAATTTCGGCGTGATGGAAGCAGAGGTAATATTAGAAACTAGACTATCTGAGCTATATGACGAAATGGTGACATTAAACATACCTATCTTAACATATTTATTACATCATCGTCTATTAATACAAACCAATACAATGAAATTCCTATCATGATAATAGTAATTCTTAATATGTTATTTCCTTTTACAGGAACTTTTGTACAAAAATACGAAATGTTTAAAAAATATGTATTTATACTAACATTTGGGAAATTATGTATAATAATAAATTTTTATTTTAATTGGGGTGTTATTAACATGATTATTTTTAATCAGAATCAAGGAATCAGTATGCAATAAAATAATGTATTTATATAATAATCCAATATTAATTAATATTTATTATTTTAAGAGTTATCAAGTGGATAGCGTTATAATTATAACCTTGTATAATTATTGATTTTTTTAAAATCTAGTGGTAATTAACATTTTAGGTGAAAAAATCTTCTCTAAAATTTGTAGCAAGTGAACGAATTAAACAATTAGCGACACATCGGCCCTTACATCCAAGCACAATCAAAGATCTTAATTATGATCCTTATGCAAAAATAAAATGCGCACTAAAATTTACGCGTAAGACATACTGCTATTTAATACTCTATATTAAAAAAATAATTATAAAAATTCAATTATACAAATAAAAATAGTTCATCATTTGTTTCTAGTTCTATTATTATAATAACGATTGCAGGTTGTACTGTTGAAACATATAATTAATAAATTTATAAAAATCACAATAATCTTTTTTTCATAAGTATTTACGTACTTTATTACCATGCATAGAAAGTCCTATATACGTTTCATAAAAGAATAATAAAATCTGACACCACAAAATTTAAAACCTAGTATATATGAAAAACAATACTGAAAATGTCAAAAAACTATTATTCATTCGTAACTATATAAAAACTAGATTTAATTCAGATAAAAATAAACATCGTGAACCTTAAAATAGTCTATTAAAAAAATTCCTACATTTTTAATTTCATTATTTACACTATTTAATGCACTGTCCATAAATTGTATTAAATATTTGTGCTTAAAACATGATTTTGAAAAAATATTACTTTCCTAAATGAACAAAGTTATTAATATAATTTATAATTGTTAAAAACAAAGGTTTGATAAATATTCACACTTGTACAAAAAATGATTAACGTTAAACGATTTATTTTTGATTATAACATTTCATATTCAAAGCTAAATATCATTATTTTTTTCAATTGCAGCATCTGAGAGAATTTTGAAATTGGCCAAACCAAGTTCTTGTAGAAGTGATGATAATAGTAGCCGACGATCGAATAATAATTTAACACGAAGTAGATCTAAAAAAAGTATATAATAGAAACTATTCCAATTGTGTGTAATGTTATTTATTTCATTTAATAATAGAACGTTTAAATAAATACACTTCTTTATAGATCTTTTTTCATTATTATTGGTTTCATATATTTATCAATTAATTAACAATAAAGTAATTTTAAGTTCATCCCTAACACCTTATAAGGATGCAATATTTATTTTTTGTAATGGTTACATATTACAAGCTCATAAGATAAAAAGTATGTAATCAAGAAAAACAAGCACAAAGTTTGAACCCACCCGAAGTGCTATCAACTTGTACATTCTGTAGTATTATAGTAAAACACCCATTTATAACAATTGATATTAGTTGTAGTAGGTACATTCTAACACAATCAGAAAGAGTGACAATGAGATTGTTGTATTAGAATAATATCTAAGTCTTAGATGACAATTAGGCATATAATTTATAATGTATGCATATGATAACCAGAGATGTGTTAGGATTTTGTATTTTAAGTTATCCACAATTAACGCTATACCTATACTCTCTCTTATATGTTCATTCTTTATACTATTTCTCTAGTCACTCCACTCACTTGATAAAATAATCTCGTTCTCAAATCTGGGACCATGCCCAATGTAGATAGGTCTTTCTTTTCTAATTCCTCTAATATTTTGCATCTTTTTAATTTATTTATTTGGTCAATTATTCTTTTATGTTCCTCTGTTGCTCCCAGTACCTCAATATGATTTTTTTCTCACATTTTTATAAAAAAAATGTTTATTTATTCTAGATAAATGTGAGTATATTAAATATAATATGAAAAATTGTATAAAGAAAAAATCTAGCCAAGTCTCCTTGGTGACTGTCCTATTCGCCCCCCATTAAATCCGCCACTGTCTGTGTCACAGTTCATTATGTAATCTAATGACTGCTCATTTACTAACATAGCTATAAAACGTTGAGCCTTAACATCTGTCATCAACCATTTTTGTTCCACTTATTCTAAACGCAATTGTTCCTCTGTTTTTGTTAATGTTTTATTATTTAAATTGGATATTCATAACTTTCATCTATTACAAAAAACAACACATCATATGATTTTAATATTCCGTTATTTGAAATTTCTATTTTTCCCCATTTTCATTGCCGTTTAGTTCGTTAATTTTTATAGATTCGTTTTCCATTATAACGAATTTCCTATACACTGTCTGCACACAATAAAAAATTATAATAATATTTAACATGATCAACGCACTTATTACGCGAACGTAGTAAGTTTAACACTTTAAATTTCACAATTAATTATATTACTAAATAAAATCTAAATACTGAGTACAGGGCCCATAACTTGTTGTATGGAATAGGTTACCTATTTAAAAGATTTAAAAATTATTCATAATATAATAGTATATAATATAAGAGATGTACAATGGCAATGGGTAACTTTACTAGATAAACGGCAAAACTATGACTAAATTGTAAACATGTATACAATACATCAAATAAAATAACATAATAGAGAAAGGAATGTGTCCCTTTGGACCTTGTACTATAATAACATAAGTAAAAATACATTAAACTGTTATCTTAAATTACTGTACCAGTGTGTTGTTTAGTACTGTTACGTCGCTATTTAGGGGTTTAGCCTAAATGCCCGTCGACAGTATTCTAGCTGGCTAGGCTATATCTACCTTAGGTACTGAAGTTTCCTATTTAATTTATATTCCCTTAGAGGAACTACCAAGGGTCGCACTACAATATATATATATAACACTTTAGGTTAACAACGATATAAATAAATATTTATTAAGCAATTTAAATATTAAATGGATAATACAACCTGCTGGACACCTAGAGATGTTATAATCCAACAGGGAGCTGACGGCGACACACACACACACTATAATATACGGGGTAGCGAAGTTAAGTTAATTATCAGGCAAAAGTAGTGATCGCGAAGATGGTAAAATGTCAACTGTCGATAGGGATATCTTATTATGGCACATTGGCCGTAAATTGCAAAAAGTGTTTATGTGTGCAGTCCGCCCTCCTGTTAGTATTGCTGTATGTCACTGTGTTAATTATATATATATATATATTAAACGGTACAACGATGTTATGGGAGACAGAGATATGGGCACATGCAAATGTGATCGTATCAGTACTGTAAACAGTTATATCTTTTTTAAATGGGCTATTAATTTAAGTAAGTGAGATTTGAAGGTCTGATGCAATAAAATAAATATTATTTTAAAAAATTTACATTGAAACATATTAATTCAGCATCTACTTGATTTGAATGTTGGTCTGATTTGCACAAAGACTCATCGAATTGTTCATCCTGAGTGATCTGGGCAGATACCCTTTACGTGGCTCTGAGGATTTTTTTGTGTGTGTAAGTGTATATTCAAATCTAGGTATAAAAAAACATATATTCTAAAATTGTACCTTTTGAGCTAGACCCCCGCCCGCTTCACTCACTCACCCACCAATCGGTGACGGTGGAGGAAGTGTACGAGGGAATTAAACCCAACGTAAACTAACCTAATGCAATGGCGTTGGGAGAGAGAAAATGAAACCCAACGTAAACTTACAATTTTATCATGGACGACCAGACGCTTAGGTAAGCATATTTTTCAACATTAAAGATGTCGTCGTACAGTAATGATTATTGTCGTATGGATTTTATGAAAACAATGGCAACGTTTGTCGTTATGGCATTATAATTTCTCGGAATTTTATCGTCTACCAGACCCCCTAATAAATAGGCGTGTGTAACTTAATAGGAAAAAATTGTGCCACTGTCTGTGTTTTATTAATATTAAATGTACAGCTATAATTTCTAAGAATTTTATCATCCGCTACCAGACAGACGCTTAGGTAAGCATATTTCCAACATCAAAGTACCACCATACAGTAACAATCACTCTCATATGCATTTTATGATAAGAGTTCAAGTATACTTTTAGAGATGATAACGAACAATGGTCAAATCTACTACTATCTTTGTTTGTTTTGTTTTTTCTATCCACTTGAAGTAAAAGAAAAGCAAAAGCATAGAAAGTCATTGTTTCGTCATTTGGGAAAAGCTCGTCCTATTGTAAAAACTGATCCAATTACATCCTTAACACCCGAAGAAAATAATATATGATACAGAGCTTTAGCGATCCCTTTTCATCTCAGGATGAAGAAATAAAGATGGAAAGTTCAATAAAAAATGAATCTCCTACATCTCAGGAAGAAATAAAGACGGTAAATGTCGATAAGCCTAAACGCTCGTTTTCCAGCGAAATGCAGTGAGAACATTTTTCAAAGTGGTTGTTAAAAATGGACCCGGTTTACAGTATGTGAAAGATAATGATTTTAACATGGGTAATACTACGATTAATATAACGGATGATTTTCCAACTATTAAAGTTGGGGCATTAGCACCACGACTACTAAGTTATGGGCTTTATCAACTATTATTTAAAAGTAAACCTGCAGTTGGTTCATTCAATAAAATGGATTTCTCGGATTATAAAACTTTACTACTTTACACTGATGCCCATTTAGGTCGAGATGGAAAATTGAAAAGTAATGTAAGTTATAAATATAAATATATCATTAGTACCTTATGTCCTCCGAAAACAAGCAATGGTGTTAACCTACAAAATTTTAAACAAAAGACCTAAAGAACACGTATATTAGAACTTTTACACGCAGCAAGAAGTGCTGAAAATACAGGTGTGGGAAACGAAATACTATCAATTGAAGAAGAGTTACGAGAACTAGGTATAATATCATGAGTAAAGTAGCAGAGAAAATAGCAAATGAATTTCATAAGCCAGCTAGAAAAATATTTCCTAGAAAAAGAGTTGTATCGTACGACAAAGATGACTTGTGGCAAGCAGATTTAGTAGATATGAAAAATACTCTACAAAAAATAAAAATTTTACATTTATTTTAACGATAATCGATGTTTATACAAATATGCGTGGGCTGTGCCTTTAAAAAATAAATCTAATACAAAAGTCAAGTCGGCTTTTGAAAAAGTCTTGTTTAATAGATCTCCAAAAAACTTACAAACAGACCGAGATTTAGAATTTTTCAACAAACATTTTCGGATAGTGCGCTGAGTCCAAATTGTATGTTGATGTACAGATGTCGCGGAAGTTCTCAAATACATCAGCCAACAACTACACATTGATCTTAGGGTATAGGTCGCTGTACTCACCGAAGGTTGAGCAGCCGAATGGATTCCACACCTCCGTGGCGTGTCTATAGTAATCGTCATCGATATTAGACTCACTCAACTGACTATAGAAAGCGTCGCGGGGTGGTAGTTCCGTCTCGTCCAATTTAGCCCAACTATCAGTGTACTCGTATGGTTATATGCCCATACGCGTCACCAATGGCATGTCTTCCGGGCTACCACCTTGGCCGTCTCTTGGAATTGAACAAAATCGGGCGTCATTAGGTTACCGGGCAGGGTGGCAGGGTGGACAAAGTGGACAGGGAGGAGGCCATGAACCGGAAAGTGTCGACAAACCATATGGAGAATTTATTGGTTACGTGTTTCGTGACTGAAATATACTTCTCCTCGGAATTCGGTATAACTGAAATCCTTTGGTCGTCGTACCCCAATTTAGTGACGATGGAATGCGCGTTGTAACCTGAAAAATTATACAAGAAGCACGGCACAAAGTTGACCGTTTTCACTTTCAGGTTACACGCATTACACAATGTCTGTCTGAATCAACCCGATAAATGGCAGTGGTCTACGACTTTAGGGTTGGAATCCTTAAATACTGTGTGGCACAAGTCGTGTTCTACTTTCTCCTCGTGCCTGCGCACATCATCGACAGACATTCGGATGGGGACGTTGGTTTTGCGCAACAATTTAGAAATGTTATATTTCTAAATTTAGACATGGAGGTTATATTGTCCGATGTTTTCACCATGAGCTTGTAACTCATGGGATGGTGGGTGTACACAGTCCTGGTGTATGCACCCATACGATCGTCTGTTTCCCCCAGAAAGGCATCAAATTCGACCTTGCTGCCCTCTGCGGGCATAACGGGTAAAATTGGTTTATTTTTGCCACAAATCAACTTGTGATGCTCCAACGCTTGTTGACCCAGAAGAATATGCTTTTTAGGGTGATTACAAAGCTGGTGAAGCAACGTTTGCAAGTGTATATGTGACCTTGGTGTCTGGTTTTTTGGCTGCGCACGAGCCTCGAAAAATCATAAATGTACGCGTAATGATACTTGTAAGAGTGACCGATTTACAACAGGTCAAAATTATTTTGTTGTTCTTGGTCGATGACTCTTAGCGGATACACAGACCACATTATCTTAACGTCGTCTCGTTCCACGTTAGGGTTACGTCTTTCGAATATTTTAATTTGAGACACAGGTGTGGAGAACGTCAACTCCGTAAAATCATACCTGTATTCCTTGTTAAAAAATTTTCGATCAACGCGATATTTATTACTCCCACTAACATGTCATGTCAAAATGGATCACTTGAAACAAGACTGATCGATATTTTGTGGGTTGATGATTGCTTTTCTATTATTAATTTCGGGAGGAATCGAAATATATGATGATCCGGCAAGGGGCGTATACTTGTATATGCTGAGCATAAGGTCGTCGATATGTGATAGAATAAGCCGCTCCCCCTCCCCCAGTACGCGTCTTCTTCAGTGAGTATAACCTCAAAATCTTCATCAACCGCATACCCGATATCCGTATCGGATAGCAATGCTATAGCCCGTGTCTTGAAGGCACGGTACTCGGCGCGGTGCTTCCGATCGCGGTATATAGATTTATTTCAATTTGAGATTAAAATTGATCGGACGGTTACCTACGATTTCAGCGAGTCTGGCGACCAGCTGGGGTTTAACAGCACGCAGAAAATCTCGATAGCTCGCCAAATTTTCCATGTTCTTCCGATAAAACCAAACGACCCCTCGCTTCAATGCAATTCGAATCGATCTCGGAGATCACGGGTATCCATCATTTGCATACATAACTTTTTCGACGTAACCGCGCTGTTGTTAGCCCTACTACGCTATGACAACTTGCGAATGGACTTTCTGCATGATAAGTATGCTGTACCATATCACATGTACACCCAATTCCAAGAGGAGTTCTATGAAAAGGAAATGGCGTGTCCTATGCTGACAAAAACAGAATTCAAGACAACTGCACTACTCATTGTCATTGACTGTTCAAGGCAAAACGAAAAATTAAAAAATGCACCAGGAGATATTAGATGAGAATTTGAATCTGATGAAAATTTTCCAACCAACACTACATCATATTACGTAATTGTACACGACAAAATGTTTGAATATAATCCTATGACTAATGAAGTTCATAAAATACTACTGTTTATTTAAATATATATTTTGCTATTAAAAAAATGTGTTATTTATTTTAGTACCTTAACCTTATTCTATTTCATTTTTTTAGTAAATAAATCGAAAGCGGATAGTTTAAATGATAAAAGACATACTATGTAAAAATTAAATACATACGACGGTGATTTATACCACGACGCTGTTGTTAGCCCAACTACGCTTAGCCGCCTGACGTGATAAAACAGATGTAAAGGAAATAGCATTTATCAACAATGAAATAAATTATATTTTTATATATTGAAGTAAATGAATTTTTTAGCTTCGATGCGAAGCGGAGAAGGTATTAATTTTACTATGATGTGTTTTTTTTTTTTTTTTTTATGTCTGTTGCCACTTTTTCTCAGCTCTCACTGGACCGATTTCTTTCAAAAATACGTCAAAAGATCACAAATCGTATCTAGTTGAAGACATTACCCTTAAAAATTGAAAAAAATTCCCTCGTTCCCCGCAAATGGGGGAAATATCCAAAAAAATTACAAATTTAAAAATCGCTAATTTTCGAAATTTTTTCACTTTTTTTTCTTAAAACTTCCATAACTTTTTGAAAAATCAACAAATCAACATAATTTTTTTTTATACTAAAACCTTAGATATTTACCTTTCATTTGATATCATTTTTTTGAAAATCTATCACTTAACCTGCTCATTGGGGGGGATTTAAAATGGCAACTTTTTTACAAAAATTAATTTTTTCAACTTAATTTTTGAAAATGTTCCGGAAAGACTGCGTCCTTTAAACATATATCAAATTAAAGCTTATTTTATGTACTACAAAATGAAAAAAAAAAATTTGTCCCGACACTTTTTTTTCTACATTTAAACGGCTGCCGTAGTTAAAAAAACACTATTTTTGTGTTAAAATTTTCGATTTTCGATTTTAAATTTTCAACTTAAAAATGCTATAACTTTTTGAAAAATGTATATATCAGCACAAATTTTTTTTTTCTAAATACATTATAAGTACATCTTTCATTTGACATACTTTTTATTAAAATTGGACAATTTCCCCTTATATAAGGGACGTTCAAAACTTAAAATATTGTAAAAAACATAGATCTTTTTCAACTGAACTTTTGAAAATGTTCCGGAAATACTGCGTCCTTTAAACATATATCAAATCAAAGGTTATGTTATATACTATCAAATGAAAAAAAAAAATTTGTCCCGACATCTTATCTTCTATGTGCAAATGGCTGTCGAAAATTTAAAAAAAAATGTAATGTTTGCGATAAAAATTACATTTTATCGGGATGTTTTTTGTACTTAAAACTGCCATAACTTTTTCAAAAATGAACAAATAAAAATAATATTTTTTTGTATTGAAACCTTAGATATTTCCCTTTCATTTGATATAATTTTTTTTGAAAATCTAACACTTATTCTGCTCACTGGGAGGATTTAAAATAGTAACTTTTTTACAAAAAATAACTTTTTCAACTTAATTTTTGAAAATGTTCCGGAAATACTGCGTCCTTTAAACATATATAAAATTAAAGCTTATTTTATGTACTACAAAATGAAAAAAAAAAATTTGTCCCGACGATCTATCTTCTATACGCAAATGGCTACCATATTGAAAAATATACTATTTTTGTATGATAATTATGGGTTTTGTATTTTATTTTAATAGAAGTTGATGTTGCTTTTGCAATTATCCATCAATTTTTTAAAATTAAACACTATCTACAGATTTGCATCGAAGCGTTTCTTATGATAGTGATTTTAATCACTGTCAGATTAAA